CAGTTACCTGAACGGTTGTAGCACAACACAGGACAATGTTTTGTAACACAGGAGGGTAAAGCACAAAGCTACTGAAGCACTCATTTAGGGAGAACTTTTTCTTGGTGTGTTTGAAGAAGTGAAACTAAAGTCCTGCTTACATGAATAAGGTTTCCCACTTCTACAAGATCAGCCAGATGTGATCTGTAGTTTAGAAGGTTCTTAAATCGTACATCTCCCAAGTCTCTCTAATGGGAGTCTGTACTTGGAAAGGACTGACACATCGTATTTTCTTACACCTTTCCTCTAAGTATCTGTGGATGTTACTGTCAAAAACAAGACACTGAACTGGGTGACACTTTGTTGGAGCAGTTCAGCCTTTCTTCCAGCAGGGTCTAGAACTGGGAAACAGATATTCACAACAATATTTGTATTAGTTGATTTAAATTACTTTAAGTGCACTTCAGCTGCGGTGAAGTGGCCATGTCAGATGTACTGGTTTCTGCCTCTTCACCCTAAGTTATTGCCACTTTCTATTGGGCTGTCAGCTCAGTTCTGGAGGTGACTGTGAGCACTCTCCGTGAGTTTCACTCCAAAGTCAGTCATACGTGCACTTAACCTGCCATTAGTTTCAGCCTGGCAGAATTTGCAGCATAGCAGAAAAGGCATTGCACAGGATCTGCACCCATCAGGCGGCACAGGGAGAGGGACAGACGCCTCCAGCAGAGGCCCAGGAATGTCCTACAGACGTTGTACTAATCATCATATGATCACAGCCCTCGGCTTGCTGGAGACAGTTCAAAGATAAACCAAAATAACAAAGGATTTCTGCAAGAACCTCCCTTGGAATAACTGCACTAAATTAAGGGGATACAATTTGCTTGGACAGACAGAACTAAATTCACAAAACTCACAGCCTTAGTCAGCAAGTATGGAGTGACTTCGGTTCTCACCTTATGCCGCAAGGATTCATTTTCTTCTTGTATGAGACTGCTCCTGTGACATTCAGCTTCAAAGTTCAAAATGACTGGCACTGGTGAGAAATGTTAAAGAAAAACTCAAGGCAACAGCTTGTGCACAGCTGGCTTAATTCTAAAAACCAGCACTACCAGGCAACACTGGCCACGAGCCTTTCAGACAGCAAACGTGCTCAGTCCATACTACTGGCAAGAAGCACGCATGAAGCCAGCAGATTGGTAGCAACTTTGTTAACCTAAACCAACTTGGTACTTGCATGAACTGTTTTACATAGGCTTTGCAAAGATTTTAGATTCCTCCTTTTGACACTTCAGAAGCAGAGGACCAGAGAGGTTACACCACTGCGTTAGCGTACACTGAGGAAATATTTCAAGGTGAGTTGTATCCCAGCTGCAACGTGAACTTGCCCATCATGGAAGAAGGCCAGAACTCTGCAGCGTGGGACAAAAGACTTTCTGCTAATGCTGAGCTTCCCTACTATATTGGGCTGTCACTACACAACTTCGTGAATGGATGCACCCAGGAGAGTCTAACAGGAGAGGCTGGTTTAGTTATGGGTGAGGACCCAAGGCTGCATGCCTGTTTTGTATGCCAAGTAACCAGGAAAAGCGTTTCACATAAGATTTCTGACTGCTCTCCTAGTCACTGGCATAGGGATGAGCTCAGCACCAGCAGCAACCACAATTGTTTGTGCCCAGGGAATATAACGTATCATCGGGTAATTGAATAATAACTATTGAAATTGAATAATAACTATTCCGACATCCTCTGGTAAACACCAGCTTCCCATTAAGGCTTGGCTCTAAGCAATCACCTGAAAGCAGAAGGTTCTGCAATCCTGTATTCTTGGCACCGCTGCTGAGAGTCAGCATAACACCAGGGCCGGGGAGATTTAACTCTCAGTTGCAGAAAAGGATATGCATGCACTGAAATAAGACGCTCAGGAAGTTGTGCAGGGACACGATGAATGTATCTGCCCACTGGCGTGAGAAATACGTGGCAAAGGTGGGGTTGGAGTCTGGGGCAGGGAGGAAGGGCAGGACAAACCAATCCTTCCACTCCGCCTGGTTCTGGAGCTCGGAGGCCTGCTTGAGGAAGAACTCCTGCGCCTTGTCATTGCGGCCACTCTGAAACACAGGAGAACAGCGCTCACATCTCCACTCACAGCTCTGCACGGGTCCTAAGCAGCAGTGCCTGATGGACACCGTAAGAGCTACCGCTCAGAATTAAGGCTCATGTGAGAACAAAAGAATTGCCCAAATGCCAGAAGCTCCCAAAGGCGCTTCATCCAACATCCTTTCCAGTCACCACAGTCTTGTTTAAAGGTCACGGAAAATCAAGCTAGCTCCTCGGTAATTTCCAGCTAACCCAGTGCAGTTTGTCCACCCACATAAGACATAAGTGGTGACATACAAGCCCAAAATATACTTCAAATTACTCAATTCTACCATGGATGTAGCCTGAAAAAAATTGATCTGATTCGTTATCCAGACATGACGATCACACTCCAAGGTAAGCACTGGGCAAGACAACAAAACACAAGAAACCACACTTCCAGAACCACGCGTTAGATTTTGATTCCTCCACCAACATCCATCATTTCAGATTTTCAGTCTAGGAATGGAATTGAGGTGGAAGTACTTCTCATAAATTGCAAGAAATTAAATATGAATTGTTGACAGGTGTTTGTGTACCCTGGTTGCCAATGCTGTGTACTATCTTTCTTTCACTTTCCTAAGGTATCATTATTTTCTGTTCTATTCAGAGCAGACAAAAACACTTTCACTTTCTCTCCCACATTACTTGACCAGATTTGAAGCTCACATCTCCCCTCTCTCCTCTTTTATAAACTAAAAGAGAACTCCACCAACTCCAAATGTCCCTTTTTCTTCTTCTAGACCTTCCAGCTTTCTTGATTCTTTAGGAACCCCGGTCCCTGTAAGGACTGGCTGAGCCCTGCCAGCAGGTTACAGCGGAAGGAATACCAACAAGCCCATCTGTTGATCCCTAATGCTGCAGAAGGCCCTTCTCTACCCTACTGCTGCCTGCTCAGGCACTCCTTATTCTGCAACAGTGCAGCTGATTACACTTGCCTACGTAGAGATTTTGGTTTTTTGACTGTTTCCTCAACTTTAGAAGACTACTTCAAGCACTGACCTTGTCCTCCTGTGTTCTCAGTAAATGCCCCACGAGGAGACATTTAAGAACCTTATGGTCTCTGCTGGTATCCACGTCATTAACAGAGCCTGAGCAGGACTGAGCTGCCAGTTCAGCCATCCCATCTGCCAGGGCCTGAGCCTGCCTTTGTGGCTGAGCAAATACCTTGCTCCCAGCTAACCATATTCCCCTCCCATCTCAGCTTCCCTGTCCTCCTGCCTGCAAGCCCATCATGTGAGTCTGCGTCAAACTCTTCACCACACTCTGATGCACAACACATGAATCGCTTGTCCCTGACCCACCAGGCGGGTCAGAGGCTCTCAGGGTATTTCCTTGCTCTGGTTTCAGACACCAGAATATTTTTTTTCCTAAAATCAGAAGCCTAAAAAGATTGAACGGTCACCACCTGAACAGTATGGACGAGGTAGTATCGGAATAAGCTGGTTTTCAGCTTGTTCACCGTGGGCCGGTACACGTCTTCCAAACGGCTGAAAAGGCGCCGGTCCAGGTAGCTCCAGTAATCCCGCAGGGCCGCCAGGTCGTAGCTCTGAACGAACTGCTGCAGCTGGTCCACTATCTTGTCCACCTGAAGGGGGCAAAACGGGGGAGACCACGGTCATGTGTGGGCTGTCTGGCACACGAGGCTTTCTGTGACTCAGTGCTGAGGAGCTTTAACTCCACAATAACGCGCCAAGCCAGGCCGTATGCATCGGCTGAGCGACCACGGGCAGTTTTTGACAAGATTACATTCTGTTAAACACGGGTGTTTGTGGCTGCTTTTTTTTTTTTAAAGCAAGCAAGCAAAACATTTCCACTTCTTCTAAAAGCTGACGGGTAGCGAGGCACCAGGAATAACATCGCTACGCGTTGAAAACTCGAGCGCGGTGCTCGGAAAAGAGCCTTATTTATAGGCTAAGGGGAAAAACGGTACCAACCAGCCGAGAGGGAGCCCAGAAAGAGGAAGAAAGCCCGGGGGAGCTTCTGCACGGGGAGCTCCGAAGCACTCTGAGTGCCACCCCTTAGCGGGAGCGCCCCAGCCGCCTGCCACGGGAGGCTTTTTGCCGGACGGCTCCCTGCCGGCCCTCCTGCGCTGCGGGCGAGGCCCGGCGGCGATGGGGGAGCTCTGGGGGCCAAAACGCGCCCCAAAAACACGGGACCCTGGAGCCCAGGCCTGAGGGCGGCTGCTGAAGCGGGTCCGTGCGAGGCTCGGCTGCCCCTCTGGGACCCCCCAGCCCCTCTGGGACCCCCCCAGCCCCTCGGGACGCCACCCCAGGAGCTCTCCCTTCACCCCCCCCTTCCCCCCGGGCCCTATTTTAGGCCCCCCCCAGGCGCCCCGCGGCCCCGGCGCTGCCTCACCCGGAAGCCCTTCTCGCGGTCCGCCTTGATCTCGGCGTCCAGCTGCTTGAGGGCGGCGGTGAAGCCGCGGAAGAGCAGATACTCCCGCACCAGCTCGTCCGTCCGCTCCGCCGCCGCCGCCATGGGGGCGCCGCCGGCTCCGCCCGCCTCAGCGGCGGCGAGCGGCCGCCCGGCCCCGAGCGACGCGGCCCGGCCCGGCCCAGCCCTGCCCTGCCCTGCGCCGCGCAGGACTACAACTCCCAGCGTGCCCCGCCACCGCCGCTGCGGCGCAAGGCACGCCGGGACTTGTAGTCCTCCCCGCTCGGCAAACCCGCAAACCCACCCGTGCTCTCTCCCTCCCTTCTCCAGCCGGCGGCCGCAGCCCGCGTTTTTCCCCTGGCTCCCATTGGCCGCCGCGGGGCCGCGGCCGCGCTCCCATTGGCCGCCCGCCACGTGCGCCACGTGTTGCTGGGGGCGGGGCGGGCAGCGCGGGGCCCTGCGGCCGCCGGTGGGGTGGCGGCGGCGGCGGTGCCGTAGGGATGCCGGTAAAAGCTTCCTTCCCCTCCGGGCAGCTCTCCCGGAGCCTTTTTCTCTTTGCAGCCGCCAGCTCATCCCGAGCGAGTTGTTGGCTCTGCGGTCCGGGTCATGGGGTTGTCATGTGGCTCGTCCGCACGCTTCTTAACTGCTGGGTTTTTCTTGCAGCTTCCTCGCGGCCGGTGTTCCGGAGGCAAATCAGGGGGGCCCGTGATTAAACTGTCTTGGTTTCACAGCGTTTCGGTGTGGAACGGGAGGTAGCGGATTCAGGGACAGGAGTTGGTACAGGGAGGAGAGAATTCATTCATCCTTTGAAGTGCGTTTTGTCCTTAAGAGACTGAGAAAGTTAAGGCAGGAAAAAAATAAGAAAAAAATAAACTAAGAAACTACTTAATCAAAAAAAAAAAAAGTTTATAAAGAAGAGATTGACAAAAGTGCTACTGAAAAGGTGGATAGTACTGTACCCAAAGCAGAGGAAGAACTGAGGATTCCTCTTCTCAGCTCTGCCACCAACCCATTAGACGGGTTACTTCCAGTTTTCTGGTTTGTAAAATGCTGGTTTAAGCTGAGAATCATCCTTGTAAAGTGCCTTGTGGTTCTGAGCATACTAAATGCTGTGCTGTGGGGGTTGTGCAGACAGGGCCCCTTCCCTTTTGTGAAGTCTGAGGTAAGGGTTTGGTTTGCCATGTTCTGAAGGAGATGCAAGTTGAGTTGAAGTCGCAATAACACCAGAAACCAAGACTAAACGGGTACTTGTTTTGTCTGATCTGACCGTACTATTTGCACATACCAGTTCTTGGAACTGCTGTTTCATAGTATCGTGCCCATCGCATGACTTTTGGGATCCGAGGAAGATCAGTATCTTCAAGGGCTTAAATACAGAAGCTTACTCCTAAGTCTAGTGCTTAATGCCTGGCTGAAATAACTGGTGTGAAAGCTCTGCAAGGTAGACCTTCTGTCTAAGGTGACTGGATGGTCTCACTGAGCATGTAAATCTTGAAATATTTTTGAGATGGGTAGGTATGTTTAAAGGCATCAGCCGTATGTTGTTCACTGTGCCTGCTGTAAATGCTGAATGAATGATTTGAAGCGTTGAAGTTATTCCAGTTCACAGCAGCATAGCTGAGTAGAACGTGGCGAGGGCTCCTATTGAAACCCTCATCAGAAGTGAATGGTAAAGTCTCATGCCTTAAGTCAGCAGACATCCAACAAGACATGCTGCAGGCATGGGAGTTCTGGACATGCTTCAAGGAGGGAATGGTCCAAACAAGAACATTTGCTGGTGAGAGATCAGACTGAAGTAGCAAATGTCTACGTGACTCAGTATTATGTTAATGTATTACATAACGTATTTATCATATAGAATATTTATATTCTGTATTTAATTTTGCATTGTTGTTGGTTCTTTCCCCTTCAAATTAGGATATAGGAAGCTCGTGAAATAACACAGTTGTTTCCTCAGAGACGTTGAGATAATGAAGAAAAAGTGGGGAAAAAAAAACACCAAGGCATGTTAAAACATGAATTTAGTCAGAGCAGAGAGCAGTCAGTTCTGATTTATTTTTTTTGTTTGTTTGATTTTTGTTTTGTTTAGTATCAGGTTTTGTGTAAGTCTAAGAAATATATCCAGGAGCTGGAGCAAACCTTGGGTTCTTTGCTGAAGATGAAAGGTACTGCAAGCTTTTGCCTGGATGTGGTTTTTATCTCTTTGTTAAATAGAGACAGGTGTGTGGCTGCTCCCACTGAGGATTGAACTTCAATGTGACTGTAGCAGTAAGTAAGGGGCAGCACAGTGTCTGCCAACCCACTGAGCACTGCACCTCAGAGGTTCCCAGTCATTCCGGGGCCAGGCGGAGGAAGGCAACAAATGATGCCCGCTGTCCCACAGCAGCAGGCAGTCGGGGCAGGGGCTGTCCGATCATCCCATCACCTCCTGCCCGGCCAGCCTGGGGCTGGTGTGGGTCCCCAGGCTGTGTGCATGGGCTGCAGGAGCTGCAGGAGAGTGTGTGCTCCCAGCCACAGCACAGTGGGAGTCTCCAAAATACGGTCGGATAGAAAAAGCACGTTGCTATTCATGCAACTTGCACCTCCAGTTGTTTGCATCAATTACAAGGTTGCAGAGCAAACTCTGAACCCACATCCTCAGGTAACCTGTAAAAGTCACAGGCAGGAGGAGTACTTTGCCAGAGCAGATCTGAAGGCATCACAAGCAGTGGGGCTGGTTGAGGAGGGTTCTGGGGTAAACTTCCCCTTTGATTTACTTGCATATATGTACAATTCATACTGTTGCTGAATCACAGAGTTGGTTGTCAGGAGTTTTTATGTGCAATTTGCTCATTACATGGCAATCGTGTAACTGAATTGACTGGTACTTGCCTGGGTGTTTGATTTGCTAATTGCTTTCACCATCAGTTCTGTCATGTCAGTGTCACAAAGACAGCATAGGATTCTGAGTTCCTCAATGCTCAGAAACTCCCAGTAATGCCAGTTACGTTGTAGGAGAGGCAGGGGGCTCTCATTTCACAGCACTTTTGCCTAATGAAGAGCTCTGGCTCATGAAGGACCAGTTGTCAGAATTACTCTGCTTGATTGGGATTGAGGATGAGAGGGAAGCCAAACGTTCCACTGATATGACAGTTACTTTTCTGCTGACAACAGAGTCCTTCAGTCTGGAGGAGGGGAACCCGTCCAGCCTGGGTGAAGTCAAGGAGGAATATGTCAAGGGGTACTTCAACAATCACAGGTAAGGGCTTATACCAATCAAGGAAACAGGATAATACTTTGCATTTGCTTCCATTCCAGCATCTCTGAGCCTTTCTGTCATTGTTACTGAATTTCTAAGCAGAGGCCTTTCATCATGAGGAAAAGATGAAGAGATTTCATGGTGCATGAGCACTCTGTGCATCTTGTTGGTCTCATTTCCAATCAGTGCTTGTATTTCCTTCCCCTCCTGCACAGCTTGTCTCCACCACAGACCTCATTTGCTTGCAAAGCAAAAGGAGGAGGGAAAACCTGCTTAGGAAGAATGGCCCTGGACTCTGGAGTGACCATGACAAGGCTGTTATTAATCCAGTTAAGAAGTTGTTTGTGGCTTTCTTTCCCTGTGTGTTCTTTTCAGCACTGCATCACCCTCAGGAGCTGTGAGTGAGAGTGACTCCACCATCTGGTATCTGATACAAGAATGTGAAAAACAAACAATGGAAGAGGATGAGAAGCCAGCATTCAGCCAGTACCCAGGTGCTTCATCCCCAGATCTGGTGGAATTTGAACGGTAGGTGCACCCCAACTCGCCTTCAGTTTTTCCATTTGCACACGCTGCATCCAGTCACTGCTGTACGTGAAACCCTGCTGGAGCCTGCATCTGCCTTGCAGAATGCCTCGTGCCAGCAATTTTGGCCCTGTTGGCAGTGAAGCTTGAGCACCTCCCAGTTCCCTTGCCCATGGCTGCCACGTGAATGGACTCCGGGCATCCTGTCAGCCCCCTGCTCTCCCAGCCTTGGAAAATCCAAGCAGATTTTTTCTGCCCTGTTCTCAAGAAAGAGTGGAAAAAAATGTTCAAGTGTGTCAGTGCTCTTCTAGAGCTTCACCACTATAAATTTACGTGGTTTCTTTATTTTTTATTTCTTTGAACTGGGGCTTTTTATAAATTTGTCTTGGATTATTCATCAAAATGAGGATGCAGCTCTGCCAGCAGATGGCACCAGCCTACCGCTACTGTGCCCTCTTTTGCTCCTGCGAGAGCCGGAGGTGGCTGTAGTGAGGTATCATTTACAAGACCTTGAAATGTGCTGAATCAAGTTTTTCTGGGGAAGGAAGCCCTACTTCATCACAGGCTGCGCAACGGAGCCATAAACACTTGTCTTTCCCCTTCTTCACTGACAGTATAGACAGGGCCTTTATAGGGCTCTGTGGGCTCCTGGCGCTTACCTTGCAGTTTTATTGCAGGCTGCACTTGGTTCACAGCTAATTCTTCTCACAAAATGATCAATGACAACGTGCATAAAATAGTAGGGAGTCTTCAGCAAACAAAACAGCTTCTTGGTGATAGTCTGGTCCAGTTATTTGGGCAGCACCTGAAGGCATTGAGCTTCTACAGAGCGTTTCCTTTTAGGCCACGTCCTGCAGCTGCAGGCAGGTAGGACTAGGCACTGCTCCGTCCTGTGCAGAGTGTGGTTGTGTCCTTCCAGCTGGGAAGGAAGTTGTTGAGTCATGGTTTGTCCAAGGTTAATTTCTTTAGCAAGCAGTCTGATGGTGTTTCATGCTCTGTTTGAGAAACTCCAGAGCCTTCGTTTGGAGCTGTTTGAGAAACTGCACAGAATTCTTGGTGAGGGCAGCAGCTGACATGAGACTGCTTATTCCCCCGTATGGTATTTGCCATAAAAATGTTGGAAAATACTTCACAGCGTGGAAGTTGGAGGTTAAACATGTTTGTTTGGGAGATTGCTTTATATTTTCAATATCGGTTTACTAAAACAAGTATTTACAACAACCAAGAGACAGGCTGTTTGGAGTTAATTTCTTGTGCAGTAGCTGAGTTAGTCAGGAAATGTGCCTGACTGGGACAACTTCCAGGGAATCATCCTGAGCCCAGTAAAACTTAGTAACAGTGACTGCTGTTTATAGAGCTCTTGCTTTTTGCTCCTTTGAACTTGTTGGTTTCATCCAAGAAGCTCTAATCATCTAATAAACGTAAAATAACTTTTAGTGCTGCTTTCTAAAGTAGGTGTCATTACCCCTGGTTCAGTGTGCCACATGGTGCTAACAAGAAGCAGGCTCTTCCTGTGTTTTGGTCACCAGATTGAAATTACAACATTAATGTTCAATTGGCAATTTTATGATAGACATCACAGAAGTCAGTCTCAGGAATGCAGTTCCTCAGATGTAAAGTGGAGGAAACTGAGCGCCCATGCCCTTTCAAGTCAGACCTTCCAGGCCAAGTTAGTCTCTTTCTGTCTGCATGTCTCATACCTAATGCATCAGTGTATGACCTCAGCCAAGGGTTAAGAGTACTGCAATGCCAGTAAAAGTATAAAAAGTGACTTGCAGTGCGAGAGCCTCAGGATACAAAGGCAAGTATGCAAAATTTATGAAATGCCAGAATGAGGTTAGCCTATGCAACAAGTACAGCCCGTAGCAGTCTGGAGCTTCTGTTCTGAGGCAATCCTGCTGAGGCTCTGGCTGGAGCCTGCTTTTTGCAGATGAAATCTTGGCAGAACGGAGTTGCTAAAATCTTCTGGCAGTGTTGGGCAACGTTCAATAATTGTATGAAGTCTCAGAGGGAGAAGTCAGTGAAGTAGTTTCAGATCACAGCTACTCCCTGCTCTCCTGATGGTTGTGATGGCATGACAGGATCTTTCTGGGTAACAGCTACAACAGTCAGGTTGGTTCAGCACAGCAACTTTATTAGACAAGTCCATTAAGGTGTCAATTCAACTGTTTAACAACAGACCTTGCACAGTAGTTACTGATCTGCAAAGTCAAAGTTTAACATTACCTCAGATTAGTAATTAATTATATCCTTGGCTTACCTCCCAAGTAGCAAGCAGTGACTCAATCCCAGGGAAGATTCCTTAGCTGGCATCCTGAGCTAAAGGGGGATCACCACTTCTGCTCTGAGACCAGCTGGCTCAGGCAGGAGTGCTCAGAAGGGCTCAGTTTGTCAGTATGGTTTCTGTTATCATCTGTGGTCCGCTGTTTCACAATGGTTTGTTTCACTTTTAGATCTTCTAAAACTTGACACAAGGAACTGCATCTTGTGCAAGGGTGAAGGTCATTTCCACCACATACGTTGCAACAGCTCAGCATTGACTGTAGCCGAGGTTGCAACTGAGTCAAGCCTTCAGTGTTCTGCTGGCACTGGATGTCTTGTTCCTCCACACTGATTTACAGCAGATGGCTACCTGATAGCTTGGTGTTGAGATGCTCCTTTTCCTTTCCTTACAGGTACCTGTATGTTTATAAGCACACAGTAGACCTGCTGATAGAGCATGGAGTTTTTTGCACTAAGGAGGCACCTCTGCCTGTGATCTCCATGGCTATTTCACACCTCTGGCAAGAACTTTCTGAAGAAAGGAGAGACAGTGTCTTGCAGTACTGTAGCCAGAGAGATTTCCTCCTGGATCCAAAGGCTGCTTGCCAAGAACCTGTGTGCACTGATGGTGACATGAGGGACAGTCAAGGTAACAGTGATGAAGCCAGTGGTTCCTCAGTCTCCACACCGGAGGAAGTAAGTGCTCAGTAACACACATCCTCTGCTTCTGAAACCCAAGCCAAGTTGCTAATTGGCACTGCAGCTTTTAATTGGAGCCATACAGTAGTTGTAATTAAGCTTTCCCAAGACCACTTGAATGCATATGTGGAGACAATAAACAGTCTGAGTAAACGTCTGCATTGAGTTCTCTCTTAGTGAGATAAAAAGCAAGCTGTAGGAGTGCTGTGGCAGTAATCCTGCTGGTCTTCACATACCTGTGGAGTTTCTGCGCTAGGTAACAGTTTAAAATTTGCTATAACTTGCCCAGGAGTCAGGAGCAGGAAGGAGGATTATATAGTTGCTGTCTTCTGCAAGTCCTCCAAGGAGGACATGTGAGCTAAATGCAGAAGAAATGCCTGGTTTCCCAAGACTTGCAGTATTCTTGCCTGCTTTTTTTTTTTTTTTTTTTTTTTTGGTAATCAAAGCACTTGGTAGCCCTGAGAAGGTATTTGTAGACCAGTTTCAATGATACAGGACTAGTGACTGCCCATTCCATGCATTTCTGCAGAGCCAAGAATTCAGCGACTGTGTAGGCCAGAGCATGTGTTTAAGAAAAAAAAAAAAGAGAGAGATCAAATAGCAGCCAACTCTTCCTAAGCCGATCTGTAGCTCTGATTACTTAAGCAACTAGCTGCTCAAAGATGTGTGTAATTTTATTAGTTGCAAGGGAAGGACAGAGGTTCACCTTTGGCAGATAAGTACATTGCATTGACGAACTCTTTTTGAGTCACAGGACACTTAGGCAATTCATATTGCTGACCTACTTAACAAATGTCATGGGGATGTTGCATGTGCAGTACTTTTTGGCACAGAAAGTGTGTGATCCACGTTATGGCAGTGTGAACTAATGAGCTTATTGGTCTGTCACATGGAGAATCCAAACTCCTTTGTAAGCCAGACAGTATACTGGAATTGGATTTGTAGAGAACGGCTGATGCAGCTGAGATCCCCAGCCATAAACAATGCCACAGCCCACAGTCAAGTCTGAAAAGCACTGTTAAAATTCATGTTTTTACTGATGTTTTGGGAGATGTAATGCAGGTCTAATGCTTGGAAGTTGAAGCACAGGCCTAAGGGAACGGACTAACCTTGTGTTCCTAGTCATGAAATATGGTTACTCCTCCTTATTCCTGTCTCCGCAAAACCCTATAGGTTTACTGTAGCAGTAAACATACCTGTTAAATGGAAGGAAGGAATATCATGCTTTTAAAGACTTAATTATTAAAAATTATGCCCTAGGTAAAGCTGTTTAGTGGCTGGGTATATTGACATTCAAAGTGTTTTCCCTGACAGGTAATGTTTGAAGATGCGTTTGATGTTGCTGCCGGTTTCCTCAACACAAATGAGACTCAGGGAATGTCTAGCCAGAGGTAAATTACAAACCCACCCCTTTTATGAAACAGAATGACTTAATAGCCGACAGTCAATACTCCACAGCAAGTTTTCATGGAATAAGTCAACAAGCCTAACTCTCTTTTTTATGCCTAACTTTTAGTAGATGGCTGAAATAGTAGCATACAGCAATTGTGCTCACAATAGTGCTGTCTGTTAAAGTGTACGAGTTGAATGATTAATAGGCATTACAGCAAAACCAGGAAGCTTTGCTTACTGAGACTGCCCGGTCACTTTGGGATAACCAGGGCACTCTTTGCAACTCTTCCTGGTAAATCCAGGAGTCCTCCTTCTGGATAAATGGATAAACTTTTTTTTTTTTTTTTTCCCCTCCACTCTGCATAGCTTTACATCTTTCAAATTACGAGATTTGTAATGTTTTCCTTTTCTCTCTCACTTACCAGGTCTATGAGGACCATAAGACATTCGCTGGATAAGTCAGCTAATCATGAACTGCACTCTCACTTAATGAGACAAAAATAATATATTTTTTTAATAATGTCTCCCTTAACCTTTTTCAAGTACTCTAATTTCATCAGAAGGAGATGATCAAGCTAAAGTGCGGTTGACCTGAGCAGTAACATCAAAGAAACACAAGACCTATTAAATAATAATAGGTCTTTCCTCTGCAGGTCAGATCACAGTTACCTAGGAAAGAACATGTCAGATACAAAACTGCCTTTGATTTTCCCATTAGACCAAAGAAAGAAAAGGGTTTCTTTCCTCAAGAGGAAAATCACATTATGACTCCTCTCTTATGTATTCTTGCTGCTTAGTCTCAGTTTTTTTTTTCTCTTTCTAAGTAGTGTTTTAATCCCCTTTTTGACCCAGTTTTTACTTATTTTTCCATACTTAAAAATGCACACATCTTTAGCATGCATCTTCACTATTTCTCCCCAGTTCCTCTTTGCACTTTCAGGACAGCATGAATGGAAATAACTTTGTTCAGACTGTTGATCAGAATACTCTTGAATACATCATACGACTTCAACAAAACACATATCCACTAAATAATGTTGATTAGGTCACAATTGCTGTTTGCTTTTGAAACAAGAAAAGCATTCATTAATACTGCAGTGTATTACCATCATCTTTGCAGTCTTGTTTTAGCCCCAAACTAGATTAGTGTTTCAGTAGACAACATCTGTCCTGTTCCCTTCTCTTTCCTATCACCCTATGCCTTTTAATTCCGGACAGAGGTGTGGTAGCAGAACTTTGTAAGATCCCAGGGGGAATATGGAGGTGAGGTGCAGAGTGATGATCTGAGCTTGTTACCAAAACTGCCCATTAACAAACTTGCCAGTGACAGCTAACATGTCATTTCATGACTATGTTTTTATTATGTTCTCTCTCTGACTTTACAAAAGAAGTCTGTGTTGTTCATCTGAACAAGCCTACAAAATAGACTAACAAATAGCCATTGTTGCTCTCTGTTACGACGGCTGTATACTTTTCCCTAAAACAGTTACCACAGCTGTAATGTATCAGTGGATCTCTTTGTTGTGACAGTGGCTTCTTGTACTGCAGTTCTCTGTTCTTCCTCTCATTTGTTAGACAATATCTCCTCGCTACATACACCTCCACTCCTCCCTATCTTTTATATCCATTGTCTTTATTATCAGGTTTGTCTTGAAAACAATTTAAGTCATCTTTAATTTATAAGTAAAATACGGAGGAGGGAAAGTAAGTAGGAGGAGAAAAGAGGGAATGAGACCTTAAACATAACTTTGGGTTCCATTTCTAGTTCAGCATTTGCAAGCTGCACTTCTGAAAATCCAGAGGATGACCACAGACTCTATCTGCAGATCACTGAGTTCCTAAAAAGCCTTTTCTTTGCTAATGCACAGTTTTGCCAGGTAAGCTTTGCCAAAGGGTTCCTTAGAGAAGGAGCAGTGTATTTCTGTCACCATCAGACAGGGATTTGTGTTCTCCATGCTTCAGATCATATTGTCCAGCTCTTTTAAAACAAGAGCTTGGGGTTTATCACTTCAGATGTGTCAGTCCAAAGGTCACTAGGATTGCCTCTGTAAGACACAAGGTTTGAGGTGTCATGCTCAGAATCTGACTAAAAATCCAAATGATGTGAGGATTTTTTATTATTACTGTTTTATTAATTGAACTTGCAGGTTGAAAAGCTGGAGTGATCTCATGTAAGCAGGTAAAGCAGTGCCTGCTCTCTCCATAACTCAAAGCCTCTTGATTCTGAGCTCAATAGGGACCGCCTTGTGCTTTGTCTTGGTGCCAGGTTCCCTACCCTCAGCCCCTATCTGGCAGGCCTTAAGAGCAGGGTAATTATGCTCTTAAAAGAGAACAGCTCTTAAAAGAGAGCAGCTGCTGTGCTGTGCCTTACCCTCAGCCTGCTGTTGCAGGTTCACTGAGCCAGAAATCTTTGTGTTTGCACTGTTCTTCCTCCTGTTCTTGTCCTCTTGCCAAGGAAGTATCTGAGATCTCGCACGTGGGTAGAGGACCAAAAGGGAGAGATCCCTCAGCAGGAACATGCTTGTTTGGGCTCAGAGTCAGTTGTGCCTCTGTTCAATGGCCACTGTTATATCTTATTTTATTTTTTGCTATCATCTAGCTTCCACCTGCTCTTTGTTACATGAGCAGATGTTCCTTTAAAGAAAACAGAATGTTTGTGATGAAGGGTAATTGAGACCCCCCCAAAAAAGCAACCACAAAACAGAAACTAGTATTGCACCACTTCCTAAAATTCTCACATAATGATTTCTGTGTGCCATTTGGTTCCCACTATCTCATGGAGATATTAGCATTAGAGGGGGGTACAGAGCATGGCAGCAGATGCAGCAAAAGCTATTAAACAGGAGCTACCAGAGTAGGACTCTTCAGCAAAAAAAAGACTTGATGGGTAGCATGAGAGAATTTTGATCCTAAATGGATGTGGTACACAGAATGACTGTTCATTGCTCTAAGACCAGAACTAGAAAGCACCCACTGAAATGAAAACAACGTAGTCCAATCAGTATATTGGCAGTATACCTGAAAGTCTAGATACAATTCCCAGTTCAGAATCTCCTCACAGCAGTGTGCCAGAATGCAGCAGCATGTATTGTGGAACAGAGCATATTGTATGCTATATTCTTGCATTTCTTGTCTAAACATCCACTCCTGGCCATTGTCAGAGACAAGGTGCTGATCTACACAGCCCTTTGGTCTGTGAATTACTGTGTTCTGCATAAACACAGGGCTCTTCCTGTGTTTATGTAAATGACCATGAACTGAAGATGCTTAGAAAAGAAAGATCAACTGTAGGCAAGATACAGTATTTTTGAGTTACGATTGTCATGCCTTAGTGCTAATTTTGTCCTCCTGCTTGGTGCTGTACTGTTAAATGTGAGCCCAAGCTCATCTCACAGCTCCCAGACTGTGGCATGAGTGGTAGTGAAATACAGCAGATTGGCAGTTGACTGAGAACTGCACATCCAAAAGGAAGTAAAAGACTGTGTGCACTTTTTTTTTTTTTTTTTTCCCCAGGACCTTTTGGTTGTTTGTGATGAGACAATAAAAAGGGAGTTTGAGCAGAAATCACCCAGGCTAGAGAGTACTGATAATATGAAGGTTGCAATCTGTTTTGGTTTAGATAACTGCAGTACAGCACATCTAGAGAATCCTGGCCAAGAAGGGGGAAAAAATACAACTGACAAGAGGTTTTTTTTTTGTTTTGTTTTGTGAGCAGAAATTCAGCTCTGTCTCTGAGCAAATAGTTGGAGGCAGTTAGGGAAGTGACTGCCGAGTGGGCCGAGGAAACATTTCGGCTAGCTTGAAACACTGACAGGCAGCAGCAGAGTGCTCAGTGTAGGCTACACAGCTTAGCCCAGAAATTGGTTTACACAGGTCTCTGGAGACTCCTGGACTTGTCTGGGTTACGAGACAAGTCATTTGCTTACCTTGTGGGTGTGACTGAGTCCTTGCAGACCGCAGTGCCCATGTTGGTACACCAGCCCAGGAGTTTGGGCAGTGCCTGTGGCATAGGTTATCCCGAGGTAAGTGGAGTCCTGGTGCACTGTGCACACACATGGTAGGTGATTCAGAGGTGGGCAGCAGGTAAGTACTAAGGCAAGATAACCAATGTGTACTTGACTGAATGTGAAAGGCAGCCTGTGGTCTCCTTCCCTGCCCCCTGCAGAGCTGGTGAGGTGACACATTTTATTGCTGGTCAGTATGTACGAGTTCTGCGTTACGCCATTTGCAGTTAACTATCCAGGTACAAAGTGTTGGGTTGTGTGTGCCTGCTGTTTTGTAGTCGCAGCTCCACTGAGTGCAGCTCCTCTTGAGCTGCTGCCCTGGTGCTGAGGGCTGCCAAGGTCACGCACCCCAGTGATGTAAAATGCTTGAGAAAGAATCACACAGGAGGAGGGAGGAAACCAATGGACGAAGAAAGGGAGTGCTCTTAAAAGGACTTTGGCCCCAAAATGACAACAGGAGCGTGGAAGCTACATGGTACAGAAATATTTCTGAGCGTGGGAATAGTTAAACACTCTTGTCAGCTGTCCAGAGCTGTTGTCATGAGACAACATAGTAAGAGATGCTAAGCAGTATAGGCGCTAAAAGTTTATTTGGATTGAGGTTCAAAGTTTTTAAAGTATCTAAGTGAAAGTCTGCTTTTTTTCTAAATTGTATTGAGTACCTTTGTATCTTCATCTGCACGCTTTCTTTTAAAATTACAGATTTTAGATGAGTCATTTTGCAAGCAAGAGCGATTTAGTGCTCCTTAAGCTATACATTTTATAAATATCACCTATTTTTAAAAGCAGTCTTTCCCTGACAAGTCTTGCATCAATGCAGAAGGTAGACTGGATTGATTGCAGACACAAATGCTTTCATCTCATAGACTTTGATTTCTCAAGAGCCACTTATGCTCTGTGAGCTGGTCAAGAAGACTATTTCCTTCGATTGCTAAAAGCAGCAAAGCCTGAAATCAGTAAAAGTTGAGGGCTCGAGGAAGCTCTCGTATCTTCAGAGCCTGTTATGTGACATGCTTGCTACCACAGTCAATAACACGAGTCCAAATGATGTAAGTAGAGGCAGGGTGAAGCCCTGTCGTTTTTAGAGTGAAGTTGGTTGGGAATCTGAGACATTCTTTGTCAGGCACCTCAGGCACTTGAGTGACAAGCTGCTGATTCAGAGAGGCACATTAGCTGACACTTGCCAGCTTGACCAACCAATCACTTGGAAACACAATCAGCTCCTCTGCTTTTTAACCTTACCTGGCTTTGGGGGGGGCGTTTCAGGAAGAAGATCTTCAGTTTGATTATGAGACTGTGATGCTGAGGTGCACTGAGACCTTCGATGATGAAGATTTGTAAATTGTATCTCTGTTTGCTAAAGTTTTATCAAGCATTGCTGGATGCACCAGTCATGTGAAGCGGCTGCACCTCTTTCAGTAGAGCGCCTTTCCAAGCAGAATGGAGAGACACCGTGTTGAAGTGGTTTGTTGTTGTTAACTTCCCCTTCCCTCAGCAGTGCTTCTTGACATACCAGTTGAGCAATTTATACTTTTAAAAGTTCCAGGTTTTAAACATTTATAAAATCGTAAGGAATATTTTTGTCTGTGGCTTTTTAATGGTTAACCTCACCTCACAACTATACTTCAGGCATGTAATGTTCAGTGACCTTGCCTAGCATAGGCTGTGGAAGAGATGCAGAGAGGACACATCACTGGCAACCTATGTATCTCAGGGTGTGACCTGCAAAACTCACGAAGTGCCTCCCAGCATCCTGGCAATGATTACTTTCCTCTACTATTTTTCATCTTGGGCTGGCAATGAAAGAGGAATTTCTTTGCAGAGAGTGAAATGGGGCTCTTCCATCTCTTTATGAGGACAACAGCAGTGGCCACCCACTCCCAAATTGCCCAGAGAGGTGCAGGCACAGCAGTAAACTTTGGGTTATTTTTTTCTGTGAAGTGTTTAAAACGCAGAGAGAGTAAAGCCCCCTGACACATCTCAGTCCTTGATGAGTAGTTCTGCTCGCGTGGTGCCTTGGAATTAAAAATGCTGTGAAAATAAATAAGATCAGTCACGTCTCTGAGCTGTCAGTAGCAGCTCTCTGCAGGCTTGAAGTGTAGTGGTTATGCTGAGGACATGCTAACAGCCATTACAAACAGAAAGGCTAAAAGTTGGTTTTAAAATTCAGGATAAAGCTGGTATGCTGAGGTATCCATCGCTCTGCAGCAGCCAGGATTTGGGGCTGAATCCAAGAGGGCTGGGCTGTGTCCCAGCACTGCCTCCTGCATAGGCTGGGATGCACACAGCTGTGTTCACCCAGTCATGTGGAGATTGGTGCCAAAGTGCAAGGGGTGATAACTCCTCTGGAGCACGTCCCGTCAGTCTGGTTGAGGCTGTGGTAGCACTCCCAGGTGGACGTTTGCTGGGCTATTCTGTGAGGGGAGGCCCTACCTCGCAGATCCTGCTTGGGTTTAAAAGCTCTGAATTCTGCAGAGCATGACCTTGCCTTTCCATCACCTGTCTGGTGTGCTTCATGTGTACAGGTTGTCAGTGCCTTGGTGCCTTAGGCAGTGCTGACTCTCCGTCCTCCTCCTCTCCTTCTCATTCCTAAATATCAAGCATATATTGCCCTGTGCAGTCTCAGTTTTGGGACGCATGCTGGTTAATCTGAGGTCAAATCATTCTTTCCTTTAGGAATGAGGACAAGACACAGATGCACAAGGGTTTGCATCATACGTTCTACATATGCTTTCTTATTATTTAGATTGGGGGGGAAAGTATGTTAGTTTTTCTCAGGGTTGAATCTACTGTTTTTACAGCTTAAAGCGTCTCTTTCAGATTTTAAAGACTCCTGTCTACAGATCCATTTGCCATATGACATTTGGTCGGTTTTGTTACAGGAATGAGCCTTTTTCTATGTCCACCTTAATTACTGCATCACTTGAGGTCAGACTTGGCAAAACTGGCTTGTACATGGAAAGCCATATGAGTAGCTACTGTTAAAGGATTAACAGCCTTTTTTAGCCCTCAATCCCCAGCCTTTTGAAGGCCAGTCCAGGACGGTAGTTAAACAGCTGGAATATTTCATTTTCATTTGACTTTCAGCCTGCTTCGTAACAGGGGAGACAATTTGAAGTAGTCACCATATACTATGCAGATGCATTCCCTTGATCATCACACGGGAGAGCTGCTGGTGCTTCACCTGGAAGATTTTAGGTTAAGATGGTCTGAACATGAATGTGAAACAACAGGTGTGTTGGGGTAGTGTAAAACTAGGAAATAACTATTCCAAATGGTAGCAAGCTGTGTGGGAGGTGTTTATGATGTGAGGGAGAGTATGATGAGCACCTTACTGCAGTACATCCTGTGACATGACCATGTTAGCATGTTATTGCTACCTGTGTGCTAGCACCACTTCCTTCAGTGCTCACTGGTTGGTCTTGAGGAAACTTTTTACGAAAAATCTGGAAAAAGCTAGCAGGCTACTGGGGAAGGAGGGGAGAAGCTTGAGGCAGGAGGGCAGCTGGAACACAGGAGTGACAGACATAAAGCAGCCATGGGAGTGAGGCCACTGCAGAGATTCTGTACAGCTCTGCTGTAGCATGGCAGCTCCTACACTTTACAACACAGTGGCTATAACATAGAGCAGACCTACTGCCTGGCTATGTTGTTAGGTGTGGAAACGAGCCTCTAATTAGCTGTTCTAGAGCCAGTGCAATTAGGTACAAGCCAGTGCTCATCACCAGCTCTTCAGCCAGAACAGCAGGAGCGTCTGCCTGGGCTTGGCAATTAGCTGTGCACACCTCTGCGAAGCTGCAGGCAGGGTGACAAGCTGGGTGACCCCACACCTGCCAGAACCAAGCTTGTCGTGCTGCACTTGGGACTCATCAGGTGCAAAGGGTAATAGAAGTGGCAGGTAGCTCGCTGTTCCCCAGACAATCCAGAACAGCCTTCAGGTGTTCAGCTCTACGCTTGAAGATCCTCTGATCTCCATTTATTTTCATTAAGGAGCAAATAAACAGAAGCTGTGTCACTGCACTGCAGAGCCAAAGCTGCTGCCAAACCTCAAGTGGCCACATGCAGCTGGGGAGGAGTGGTGGCTCTGCAGCCTAACCTCTGTCTGCTTCATTTTGTAATTTAGAAATGTCTCCCTGAGGCAAAAACAAAACCAAAACATACAACAAACACACCAGTGGGGGATTTTAAAGGGCAATTATTAGCCTGAGCTTGAAATAGGGACATAACTAGCTTCCGAAAACTGCCTCAAGCCTCAGCAGCTCTAGACACGGTTGCTCTGGACCAGTGCGCTCCCCCTGCAATGCTCTGCACCTCCTGGGCTTCGGGGTGTGCTGTAATGAAGGAGCCTTACGGAAAAAAAAAAAAAAAAAAAGCCAATGGAAGACTCTGGGGAAGGGATGCCATCCTGAGGCTGATGGCATCTGGACAGGCTTGAGAGGTGGTTCTGTGTGAGCCTTGTGAGGTTCAACAAGGCCAAGTGCAAGGTCCTGCACCTGGGCTGGGGCAATCCCAAGCGCAAATATAGGATGGGTGGAGAACGGATTGAGAGCAGCCCTGAGGAGAGGCCTTGGGGGTGTTGGTTGATGAGAAGCTCAACACGAGCCAGCACTGTGCCCAGAAAGCCAGCTGCATCAAAAGCAGCAGGGCCAGGGCGCTGAGCAAAGTGGTTCTCCCCCTCCGCTCCACTCTTGTGAGACCCCATCCGGAGCCCTGTGTTCAGCGCTGGGGCGAGCACAAGGACACAGAAGTGTTAGAAAAAGTCCAGAGGAGAGCCACAAAGATGATCAGAGGGCTGGAGCGTCTCTCATACATAGACAGGCTGAGGGGGTTGGGGTTGTTCAGCCTGGAGAAGAGAAGGCCCTGGAGAGACCTGACAGCAGCCTGGCAGGGCCTAAAGGGGCTTTCAGGAAAGCTGGGGAGGGACTGTCAGAGAGTGCAGTGATGGGACAAGGGGTAATGGCTTGTTTAAAGCCATTAAAAGAGGGTAAAAGCCAGTAAAAGTGGGTAAATTTAGATTAGATGTTAGGAAGAAATTCTTCCCTCAGAGGGTGGTGAGGCACTGGCACAGGCTGCCCAGAGAAGCTGTGGATGCCCCATCCCTGGAGGTGCTCAAGGCCAGGCTGGATGGGGCTTTGGGCAACCTGGTAGGTGTCCCTGCCCATGGCAGGGGGTTGGAACTGGATGGGCTTTAAGGTCCCTCCCATCCCAATCATTCTGTGATTCTGAGTCATTTTTATAGGAAACCTATCTTACATAAATAAATAAATGTCTCAGAGTAAGTAGTAAGGCAAATACAAACCTCTGGCATTTGGCAAGATTCTAACATACCTTACAAGGAGAAGCCAAAAGCCTAACAGCTTCATTTCCACACTGTGTGCTCCAGCACAAGTTGAAGAGTTATGATGTGTAAGACTGTGGGTTTATGTGCTAGGTCCCCTGGAAGTATAGGCTGCCAGTTTAGAGGAGTGGGCAGAATTGCGGAGGATGAAGATGATACCAGAGCTGAGATGTGTAGGACTAATCACCTCTGTAAAATCTGAGCTGGGCAGGAATCTGATGTATCTAAATGTGCTAATCATTTTTCCTCTCAAAGACATACAACCATAATCCTGAATGGAGGCACTCCAACCTGCCAGTAACATCAACCTGTCTATACCATATTGTTTCCTCCTTTCAGACCCCAACGTACGCAATAGATTGGCCCTTCACTCCCAAAGGGAAGATACCGATATAGAATGATAGAATCATTTAGGTTGGAAAAGACCCTTAAGATCATAAAGTCCAGCCATCACCTAGCACTACCAAGTCCACCTCTAAAACATGTCCCCAGGCACCACATCCACACAGCTCTTAAATACCTCCAGGGATGGCGACTCCACCACATCCCTGAGCAAAACATTGCCCCTTACCAGTAAAAGAACATATCACTAAAGCTGCAGGATGGGCTTAAAGAACCAGATGGTAACAGGCATGAGAAATAAAGACTTTTAGGAGATACCATATCACAGTGGAGGGTACAGAGAAGATGGGGTCAGACTTTTCTGAGAGGGGATCTGTGCCAAGAGGCAGCAGACGCAAGTTGAGGCAATGGAAATTCCAGTTAGACATGAGGGAAAATGTGTTTCACTATGAGGGTGGTCAAGCACTGGAAGAAGCTGCCCAGCGAGGCTGTGGCTCTCCATCCATCCATAGCCTGACTGGACACAGCCTTCTGCCACCTGGGCAAAGAGGAGGGGTTGGGCCAGATGACCTCCAGAGACCCCTTCCAACCCAAGTCACTCTGTGGTTGTTTGTATATTGCCTGCCACTTGCTATGGCAATCACCCTGAGAAATATAATTGTGTTCTATATTTTATTTATTTTCCCCCAAAATATCTCAGTATAAATCCCAATACAGGAAACACAAGCTTGTTACAGCAATAATATTACGTGCATATGCAGTCACTATCAACAGGTTAAGGCTGTTTCTGCTGACAGTGGGAAGCAGCAAGAATCTGCAGACTTTTCCAGAGACATGGTTGTCACCACACAATCTCCAAACTAAACAGGTATGGTGGGGACACGTGGACCATAGCAGTAGCAGACATACCTCAGATTACAAGCAGAAGAGTTTTCTCCTTCATCTGTGGTGGAGATTCCTTCGTCTCTTTGGTGCTGCAAGGAAGCTGGTCCCCTGAGCTTGCTCCCAGCACCCAGGTGGGATTCCTTCCAGTGACACTGGTTGTTGCCAACAGATCAACAACCTAAGTAAGGTCTGCAGATTCCCTCTGCTGGCTAGGGATGGAGAGGCACTGTCAGAAGACAATTCATCCCATTAAACTTAGATGCCTCTCTTCTAGCAGCGCTCATTTGACTGAATTCACATTCCTGTATCACAGGAATGAGGTGAATCACCTAGAGGTGCCTACTTCTCCCCTTTGGCCAGAAAGAGCTTTAAGTCTGAGAGGTGAGCATTGCCTATTAAGATTTTTAAGGTGAAGGTGATAAGCCTCAGCCCAAAGGATGCCTGAGAGTGGCAGAGGGCTCACATCAGGGATGGCTTCTCCTGTGTTCCAGTGAGCAGCCAGGCCGGGGAAAGGAAGAGCTTTGCTCCAGCTTAACAGCTGTTCCTCAGGGTCCCGAGGATCAGTGCAGGGAAGGAAAGTGAGCAGCCTTTCCAGGCGTTTCTTGGGCTTTCCCAAAGCGGAGTTATGTTCTTCCTAGAGGTGGGCAGGCAGGAGTAGGGTAGAGAAAAATGATTCCCTTGAGGTCACCAGTGACACTGGGGTCAGAGCTAGGAAGAGAAAGACATTGTCATTCTCTTGCTTCAGCCACTAAGAAATGCCAGCTCATGTTCAAATGATGGGAGCAGCAGACACACTTTTCAGACCTCTGCTTGAAGATGAAGTTCACCTTCAGGCCTGGTGCTTATATCCTTGTATCAGCACCTATCTCCGAGTCTCTTTCTGAGCTTGCTTTATCACTGCTTTCTTGTCCAGCAGCCTTCAGTTCATCCATTTTCTTGCTGACAGGTAGTCTTTTGGGGCAAGCTGGGAAGATACCGAAACCAAGAGACAGCACAGTATTTGGTGCCTATGCCAAATGGAAGATCGTAGACCTTGGAAATGAGCTGAGAGTTGCCCGCCTCTCCTTGTGGCTCTGCTTCCATGCCAGGAGTCCCCGCTCCTCCAGTGTTCCTGTGAAAGCAAAAGTAAGATGCTTGTGTTTTGACCACTGAAGTGGGTGTTCTGGACAAGCAACTGCCTTGTGCACTCCACACCCAGCTCTCAAATCCCAGCAGACCCGCTAGAACATACAAATCCCTTGCACTCAAACCTTTCTCGCTCCAAAGGTCTTCACAAAAATCAGCTAATGAGCTGCTAGACAATACCCAGCTTCCTGCAATGGCTTCCAGGTAAGCAGTCTTCTCCACTGCTTTTTTAGGTTTTCACAGACCATGGGGGATGCAAGAACTGTTCAAGGGGCATCAAAAAGTGCTAGAAAAACAAGGTGGGGTGTTAACTGCTCAGATACTGTGGGGTGAGGGAATAAGGTTTAGCTAGCAATTACTAACTGCCTGTAATTGTTGCAGCAGCTGAGTCCCTCTTGGGAAAGGGAGTGAACGCACCTGTAAATTCTGTAAATTCTTCCCAGAGGAGCTGAAGATCAAGGGTACAATAAAATTAATGAGCCAAAAGGATATTGGCTTTTCAGTTATTCGAGTCAGTAAAAGAGCCTGGTTAACAGAGTGCCCTTCCTATTCTGTTTTTACATCAGAACTGATATTTTCCTCTCTAATTCTTACACTATTCCTCCCTGAGCTTGATGAAAATCATAGGGTCTTTGCTGACTGTGAGGGCCAACTGCAGGTCCTATATCCTAACTTTGGTCATCAGGCCTTTCCTGCTGCTTTCCCCTGCTGTGATAGAAATTCAGCCTCAATTTCAGTAGCTCTCATAAGCAGGCACACTTTAGCACATTGCCTAGAACTAGGGAAGAAATATTTATTCCAGTTTCCCCACGGTTGCCTTTCTCTCTCCTTTCAACATGACTGCAGGTTAGCATTTTCCATAAAAGACATTTTCCTAAATAAACGTTTCCTTAAACTGTATCAATCTTGAAAAACAAGTCATTTTCTTATAGGCTGCGCTTTTGCGACCAGAGACCATTGCATTGATGGGCTCCCTGTCTCTCCTGTTCCTCACCCGTCTCCAGGAGGAGTTCAGTGACGTGGTGTTTCATGGTTGCTATCACAACTCTTACCCATAGAGTAGTGGTAATGAAGACAAAAAATGCTAGGAAACGAATGCTAGGGCAGGC